GCCAGGAAATAGACTGTTAATATTTTAATACTTGAAATAAAAGATGTACGCGAACGTATCATTGTGTGTTTACAAAATTTTCCATTTTCGTATCCCTCGCTGTTCTAGTATTATATATGGTGTTTGCGACTTTTCGAGAACGTGGAAGGAATACACGCGGTACAGGACGACGATAGATCTCGCGAAATCAGCTGAAACGAATTCCATTAAGATCGATCGGAATGAAAGGTTGCCCCAAGGTTCCGTTCGTTCCCGCAACGCGAACCGCTCCGAAAAGGTTAGGAAGGATTTCCTGCTTACGAACGACAGCACACAAAGGACTGTTCTTTCTACGGTGGTATTCCATTTTGCTCGATGTACCGTCAAAAAAAAGTCACTTTCACGCGCGAATGAGTAAGATGCTTCAACGCGTCACATGCGTTGTCGTGTACTTATCGAGAGAGAAAGAGAATATGACTGACGATCGTATTTATAATCGTGTATAAACGGAGGAAAAAAGAAAAGAAGAAAAAAAAAGAAAAAAAAGATCTATAAGAAATAGGATCGAAGAAGAAAAGGGGGATCGATCAAACTTACCGAGTCGAAGTTCCCCAAAGTTGCCGGAGCCAATCTTCTTGCCGACACGAAAGTTGGGACCGACCATGAGTACATTAGAGGAGGAGGTGACACTGTACCTTGAGGAATACGCGTTGAATCTCGTAGCATTACCGCTACCACGAGAGATCCTCTTGGTCGTTTCCTGTTCGCGTTCGGAGCTACGCGCAAGCTGTAGCTGTGTGTCTCTACCGTCCCTTTTCTGCATGGTGCGAGTGTCCTCTCTGTCGTGGCAGAGTGATCCGCGACAGTCTGTTGAAACGTGACAGAAAGGGTGGATCGTATGGTAAAAAAAAAAAAAAAAGAAAAAAGGAGAAAAAGGCTGCCGACGTTAGTCCCTTATGGTGGAATTAATGATGCAAACGATGCACAGTGTTCTGTCGTCGGGGATCGATCCCCATTCTTGACATATTTTCTTCTTTGGTCTTCCCGTTGGATGGCCACCGAAATGGGAAATAACAATGCTCCGCAGCGACTTTCTAAGTAATAATGCACACACACACACACGGAGAAGCACGCACGCACACACAGAAGCACACACGACGCGAGTCGCAGGTGTCACGGTTCGTCGGTCGATGCCTTCAGGGGATCAATCCCCATGCTATATCCTAACCTCGAAGCGGATTTCGGGAAATGTTTACACTTAAAGATGGTTATGAAAGAGGGCAGACGGAGGAGAACACACGCGCGAAACACACAACAGCTCTAACTCTCTCTCTTTCTCTCTTCTTCTATCTCTTTCTAAGCGGCTAGTGGTTATCACAGACGGGAGCGAGTGTTCGTCGTGTCGAGGACCCTGGACGATTCCATACCAATTTCGACCTGCCTCTCTTGCCCGGCCGGCCGGGGTCGTTTATAGTCAACGATAAATATCGCGTCTCAGTCAATACGGCGTGCATCGCCGTGACTGTTCTGTCGCACGGGAATACACTCGGACACTACCTCCATTACAAGCGATCCTGCCGCGTGCGATCGTGATCGTACTGAATCGTGGCCCGATAGTGCCGCGGCCTCTTCACCACCACCACCACCACCACCACCACCACCACTACCACCACCGCCGCCACAGGCTCGATCCTGCGGCTGGATTTTGGGAGCGCCGCCGAAGCGGCTCTGGACTCCTTTACAGTGACACGCACACACTAGCACATGCACTTTGCGAGCTTCGTATGTTCTTTCTCGCCGAAGGAAAATCCGCAGTCGTGTCACTAGTATGCCCGATCGGCTATTATATGCCCACACACAAGTCCCGTGTTAACCGCAGTCCCCTCCGCAGTCCCTCCGCTCCCCAGGCCTTCCAAAATACTTTTACTCCGTAACTTGCTCGGACGTAATACTACCGTATCCCTGCGCTCTGTCGTTCACCGATTACACGCACGCTATTTGAAAGACCTGTCGAACGCGGACAAACAATCATGGACAAGCTTACGCTCCTGTCTCTCGCGCTCGACTCGACATGGGTGAGATTGTTACGAGGCTGACAGTGCTGCCAACGTGAAACGAAGTAACGCCGCGTTCCCAACAGCTTCTCGACGCTTGCGCCCTCTTTTCCCCACCGTCTCTATTTCCACGCGTCGATGATCTTTTTGCCTTTCTCTCTACATCTTTCTTAAACACGACGAAATTTTCCATTTGTTGCACGTACTTCCCGCGATTTTCATAAAACAGCGTGAAAATTAATTCCATTCCGCCATTGGTAGCGAATTTTGTTACCAGACCAGGTTAGGCGGCTACGTAATTGCGCGACTATATATTTATTCAGTGGTAATAAACATGGCGTTTATTTGAATTTTCAAATTGTAATCAAGAGGACTCTAACGAATCTAATTTTATGAAAATTTACCGCGTTGTTAATTGAAAAAGTAACATGTTGTATGATATTTTACGATACTTGTAAACCATTTACGAAACTATGATAAATAAAAATGTTATGACATTAAGTACCTACGTATCCATAGTAACCAATTCGAATTTTACGGATTTCTTTAGTATCCGTTAAATGTTCGCTTAATTTATATTAATTATTTTTATATTACGATGCAATGGAGGAATTAACAAATTCTGATGTTCGAGTCGTATTGAATGTAAAAGAAGGTAAACTTTGTGATTGATTACTTGTTAACCTTTTGTTTGTAACATTTTTTTGTAATAAAAAAAAAGTTGTTATTTAATATATTTATTTGAGAATGTTTTATAATAAAATAAAATTCTATGATTCCATATTTAAATATTAATAAACTTTTTAATATCAACTTTGTTTCAATTTAAATTATTGCATAATATGATCAAAACATTTCTTTTTTTTTAATTAATGTTTAATCTTAATTTTTAATCTAATGTTTAATATTAATAATTTTAGGCAAAGGTTTTGAACAAATTTTACTGCCTACATTAATTGTTGCAACTCTGAATGGACATTCTTTGGAAACTGAAATAATAGAACCAAGTTCAAATCCTCAATATGATCATGATTTGGTTTGGGAAGTACATAAAAACAGAGTACGAAAGTATGTATTATATGTTCATAATAAAATATTTTGTAATATTTGTTATTAAAACATAATTTTTAAATTATAGGATGAGATCAGGACAAGTTCCACTAAAATTAGAATGTTTTGCTGTTAAAAGTAATGATAATAAAGAAAAACTAGGGTATCTTTTACTTAGTTTAAGATCTGCCCAAGTTTTTACTAAAAGTAGTATTAACAATGTGAAAGCAAATTGGCATAAACTATCAGGATTAAAAAGTGAACTCAAAACACACAAACCTGAGTTACTTCTTGCTTTAAGTATTCATGATCTAGATACTACTATTTCAATAAATGCTCAATTAGAGGTAAATCATTTGTTACTTTCAAAGAAATTTTTAAGAACTAAAAATTATCTAGAGCTATAAATTAAAATTATAGTATGATATTACAGTTAAAGAATTTAGAGGAATGTCAGCAGGCAAGTGTTCAATCTAAAGTAACACCAGTTTTACTGCGAGATGAACGTCTTATACAATTAGGTCCATTAGATGTTTGTCATGAATTATTTCTAATGAATATCACTGCTATATCTGCAACGTATATAGATTCCTTACTAACAATGAAACATTACGCAGATGTAAACAGCGACTTGTATTTTTGGTGTAAGATATTAGAAAACGATGTACACTTCAATCAATCTAAAAATGAATATGGAGATACTTGGGCACTCAATGAAAAAATTATTATAAGAATCAGAAGTTCGTTGAAAGTTTTCAAAGAATATTTACAACTGAAACCATTTCTACTCATATATTTAAAATACAAAGAGAACATATTAGGTCAATCAGAAATAAATTTGCAACCATTAATCCCCACTGATAATGTAGAAGAATTTCTTAAAATTACTGAAAATAATAGTAGTATTTTAAATCAACGATGTTACTTATGTAAAACTGATTTCATTGAAAATAACATGGAATGTAGAAACTCGTATCTTGATTTACAATTAAAATTGCAATATATAGGTAAAACAGATATAATAATGAATACCTCCAATGCAATAATAAATGATTTAATCACCCCTAATACCATGGAATTAAAAAATATTTTAAAACAAGTAATAAGCTTTGTGTGAAATAAATTGCAAGATAGCAACATTTCATTGAGAACTAATTCATTGTATTTTATAATTTTCAGAATTATAGCGAAATTGACTGTCATAGACATCCTGCTGGTGATTTTAGAAAATATGAAACTCAAATTTCCAATCCCTCAAATAGTTACAATAATATAAATAAATGCACTTTAAATTGTGATGTTGTCAGAGATCAACATATCAAAGCTACCTACTCACATTCAGTTGACACATTACTACATCAATCAAATATCAATGCCTCTAAAAGTGTAGAAGCTTATCATTGTTATTATTTGAATATTTTATTGGTAGCAATCAAAGCAACATCTTCAAAGTTAACAGTCCCAAACATGGAAATTCGGTATTAATTACTAATTACTAATGTGATAGTTAAAATAATGAGATGTGTTTTTTAACGCTTAAATATGCATTTTTTCCTTAATATAGATTCCATCATCCAAAAACTGAAATTACTTCAGCATTTCAACTAAAAACGTCACTTTCATTAGGAGAGAAAGTAAAATTACAAGACATAGGATGCAAATTACAATTTATATCAGCAATAGATGAAATCAAACAATTATTGTTAACTTTTCCACTGAAAATTAGTATATATAAAATAGAAGGAAATACTAAAACTTGTATATCTGAAAGTAAAATTAATACGAAAGAATTATTTTATCAAAATAAGGTAATATGTCAAAAAGTATACCATACACTTACGTGTATTCATTAAATATATACCATACACTTACGTGTATTCATTAAATATATATATATATATATATATTTTAGACTGAGTACCAGTGTGACGTATTATTGTATGACATGGAACATAATAATATCGGTAACTTGGATGTTGTGTTAAATTTACAAGATTATGGCCCATATTATAGGATTAAGAAAACCATTCCTAGTAAGTCTTTAATGTATATGATCTTTTGTTCATTTATTTAATCTTTATAACAGAATGACATTACAAAATATCTAGACGAAAATTTGGGCCCACCAATCTTAGATGATAGTTTAGCATATAAAATAGTGGATGAGTTAGAAACTTGGAAAGAACGACAAATGGAAATATTTAAAGTTGAGGTAAAATTAATAGAATTAAAATTATGATTTTAAGAAAAGGTATGATTATAAACATATCATTTATCATTCTTCTTGATAATTTAGTTAAAAAGGAAGGAAGATCGTCATTTAAATTTATTAAGTCAGGAATGGCAAAAACACAGAGAAAATTTAGAAACAAAACTGGCATGTAGCATTGAACAATGTAAAATGTTAGCAAATAGTTTAAACAATGCTACAGAAGATTTAAGAACACGAAGATTGAAAAGTCTTGAAAAAGAGACTAGGTTGATTAAAGCAAATGAAGATTTACAATGGAGATATGAAACAAAATTACGCGAACTTAAAGAATCATTTCAAATAATTCAAGAAGAACTTACGACAAAGGTTTGTAAAAGTATTTGCATCCTATAAGTAAACATTAAATTTTATGTTCTTTTATAGATTAATGTTCTTGAAAAGAGAAAGACAGCTTTGGAAACGCAAAGTGAACAATTAAATGCTGAAAATGAAAGGTTACAGTTGCTTGTATCAAAACAGTCTGAAGAATTGGAAACTCATCAAAAAGGTTCTTTGACTCAGGATCAAACAGCAAATTTATTGCAAGAATTAAAGACACTCGAAGAAAAATTACAAAATGCACAAGAAAATAAATCTTTTTTCAAAGAACAATGGGCGAAAGCAGTTCGTGAGATACATCGTATGAGAATGGAATATCAACAAGCTATGCAAGTTCAAATTAGAAACAGTAAAGAAGAATTACAAAACTTGGAGTATGTGCAATATATTGACACGATATAGTAACCAATTAATATTAATATAGTAACCAATTAATATATTTTAAAAACTTTATTTTTTTTAGTCTAGAAGAAATACTATGTGCAGACTCTACTGCTTTGACAAATGATCAAATATTATTAAATGAAATTCAGAAAGAAATTGACATAATTAAGCCAAAAGCATATCTTGTTGAGAAAGATGGTTATTCTCAAGTATTCACACCAAGTTCCATGAACTCCAAAATTTCACAAAATGCTAATAATATATTAAAAAGATCAGAAGAGCAGAATAAAAAGTTACAAGCATTAGTTGAAGAACGCGATTCCCTCTTAAAAACTGGAAGTTATACAACTGACGATACAGTAATTATGAAATTAAATAATGAAATTAGATGTTTAATGATGAAGTGATTTTTTTATATAAACTATATCCAATATCATACTATAAAATACTTATAGTCATTTTTTTATATATTATACATATATACATTTATTGAAATAAATGTATTTTACTTACTTTTATGTATATTCATGTACATAATTATAAAATAAGAGAGTTGGACTATAAAACAATTATATAAAACAATTAATATAAAAAAACAACCAGAAAATTACTTATTAGGGAATATCAGGTTAAAGAGAACTTTTTTGATCGAACATCTATCGCTTCTACAAGACCTTTTCCAAGAATATAGAAATCTTGAATCATTGCCGAAATATTTAAAACTAATTCATTGTTATTATTACATTTTTGACCACCGATATTTGATACTTTAAAATCTTTAGTACCTAGTGCGGAAGGTTTAAATAAAACTCCAATTATTGTACCACCATAAGTATCGTGGAAAAACAAGGCAAATTCGTCATAACCATTCTAAAAAGGAATGTGAAAGAAAAAATATTAGTAATACATTAAAAAATGAAATAAATATTATATGGATATCACTAAAAAACTTACCCTAAGCTCTTTTAGGAAATATTGTACAGGATCAAAACCCACAATTGGTACCTTTTGGGCCGAGTGTCGTTTATATGGATGCAACTCGACAATTGGTTCTTCATCATTAACATCAACTGCTTGTAGTCTTCTAGGAACCATAAGTGGCTTTAAATATATCAAACAATCATATTCTGTAATTGGCGGCCTGAATAAGGTTTTGAAATCTAACAAAACTTTTGTAAAAAATTGATCTTCATATAATTTTAGAGATTGTTTAGCTAACATTGTAATACGATTTAAAATTAGAATAGATGGTGCTTTTTTAGTCCATAATGATCTCTGTTGATCATAAGGAGTAGAAATAAATAGAGGTGGTAAAGAATCATGAGATGATCCAAAAAGCGTTTCAACAGCAATTATTTCTTCTTCTACAATGAAAAATAAATACAATATATTGTAATATATATAAAATATATAAAAACAATATTTTTTAATTAATAATTCTTGATCTATCAATTTACTGCTATAAATACTTACTAGACATTTCATTGTTAAAATTTACTATAACCGGATCAGTATTCCAATGACCCTTAGCAAAATTTTCTAAAAGTCTCAAAAATGCAACTTGTGGCATTTGAGATGGTCTGTACGGTGCAGGCATTAAATACATTGAAGCTACAAGTAGTTCAACTACTACATCTGGTATATGAGAGTTATCTAATAGTTGAGCAGATAACCAGCGTTTTGCTAAACAACATGTAAGTCCAAATGATGGTTGTTGAACGTGCAATCTACCAAATACAAATAATATCATATTAAGTAAAGGTATAAGAACTTTTAAGATAAATCAATCTTACCCATGTAAAGCACTGGTTAACTTCGGTAATTCAAACAGTTTATTTTCTAATTCGATTGACTTTTCATTATCTTTATATTGTATAACTCCATCTTCGGTTACTTGATGTTTCAAGCAACCAATTTCTTTTTGATGGGCTACTCTCAATCGAAATACAAGTCCATCCTAATAAAAAAAAATATTACTTTTTAATAAATTGTGTATTTTAAATATTATTTTTGTCTTATTGAAAAATATCAATGAAAAATAACCTTATATACATCAACATATGGAAAGTGAGCTTTTACTGTCAACTTATATTGTTTTCTAAGACATTCTGCAATTTGTATATGAAAAGCAGCTTTTGTATATCTAAAAGCTTCTAATTCATCTGGCCATTTTCCACTAGTTGATAATTGCAAGCTTACATCAAGTGGACAAACATATCTAGGTGAAGTAGCTATATTTCTTGATAAAGTCAAAGTTTTTTTACGTTTCTCAATAAGTTTGTCATCAGGTTGATAAACAGTTGCAAGTGGTGGAAAAACATCTGTATATCGAAAAACGGCGCTAGATCCTTGAACTCCATGTATTGATAAAGGAATGTCCGTAAGAGACATTAAATCTTTTTCAAGACAATTAAATACATTTATTACTCTCAATGCTGCTTCTTCCCCCGTTCCATAAGCGAAATGTGTTATTTTTACCTAAATATTTTTTTTTTACAAAATAAGTATTTTATAAAAGAAATATTTAACATATTTTTACAAATAAAAATTCGCTTATTCTTACAAATAAAAATAGTTACCTTTCGCAATTTTAAAAGTTCTTCCACTTCATCGGCAATGTATATAAATTTATTTTTAAATAAACCTAATTTTTCTCTTAGCAAAAATGTTACAATCTTTTTACATATTAATCTTTTTCCTGACAATGTTTTGCCTTTCGACCAAACCACTGCTTCTCGAATAGTTCCATCTTGAAATCGTCGTAATTCTGATTTTTTGCCCCAAAATTTTCTAAATTCAATGGCCTGAAATATATAATAATAATAATTTTGTAGTTTCCATAAATTCTATAAATAACTTCTAATTATATAAGAAGCTTACGCATTACCTCTGGTAAATTTGCTTCAGGTCCTTTATCAACAATATTAAAGCAATACTCTGGATTTAATTCTAATCCAATAAAAATCTCTCCAATATCGTTACAATTATTCTCGGTGTATTTCCATTCTGAACTTTCATTTGGTACTACGCAAATTTGATGCACTCTATTTGTCAATCCTTTTTTGAGAATGTTACAAATAATTTTTATCGCTTGAGCCCGGTAATTGGGACCATAATCTAACTTATCTTCATTACTTGAATTAATATTTACTAGAATTTTTAACATTTCAGTATCCTCAAACCTATAAATTTTTAAAATTTTATTGTTATTCAATTAATGATTTTTTTTATAAATTGTAAAAATAATTACCGTATAAAATGATCAAATGCCATATAAAATGGTACTTTTCTCATAAAAAGTGATTGGAAACTGTTCGCGTGTGTACTATCCAAATGACTTAAGCAAAGTTCTGCTTCTTTTTGTAGCCATTTATATGTAGCTTTGGACACATGGGTAGTAATATTGTAATAACTGGTGTTATCCAAAAATACACAATCATAATATTTGTGATAACTTAAAACTCTATTTTTACTATCTTCACTTTGATTCATGGTTATTCCAGATTCACACCAGTTAGTTTGTACTGTTGAAATAAGTAATTAATAGTAACAAAAATATCTTTCAGTCAATCAACATAAATCAAAAATATTACATACTCAAATAGCTCCATACATTCCTAACTATTTGATAGCTGCTCATAAATGTGTTTAACTTCTTAATAGACAATAAGTGCAAAACAACCATTGTTATTATGTATCCACTAAAAGCTGTATAGTCTTTTAACAATTCACGTTGAATTAACCATATCTTTAATAAAATAATACCATCTCTTAAATTTGGATATTCTTTTATTACTTTCATATTTTCTGCATGTATTTTCATAGTTAAATCATGAAGAATTATAGAATTGTAATGTGGTGTTGGTGGAAAATTTTCTGTAACTGTAATTATAAAAATATCATTATTCTACAATAAGAAATATCATTATACGCTATAAGGGAAAAAAATAACATACTATTTTTAGTATTTCCAAAAAACCATTCAGGTCTAACATTATTTTTTTCTGGTAAAAACCTATTTAATTTGAAACTTCCTTCTTCAGGCGATACATGTATCAATATACTAATTTTAGTACCTAATTTTCCACTTGGTACAATTTTTAAAACTGGTTTTAAAGTATCATTCATAAACCTTTTGCTCTCAGTAATATCATCTGTAATATTAGATGCTATGTATGCCAAATATATTATTTTCTTTTTTATATACCTATAATTCTGATAATCTTGATTTTGGAATATTTTGGCAGGCATTTCTATCATTATATCTACAGCAATATTTGCACCAATTGCAGCATCAAACATGTAAGATCCTACAACAACAATATCTGTTGGCTTAAGGAATTTAAATACTCCTTTTGTTTCTTTTGGTACATTAAACACTGGGATATGTATATTTAACTTTTTTCCCAGTTCATCATCTGAAAGCTATAATTTATTGTAGTTATTATTGTATAAAATTTTTATTTAAAAATTCTGTATTTAAATAAATTTACATACTCGATATTCTTCTGTTTCCTCTATGGATTCAATAGTCTCCTTCAACTTTTTGAACCAAATGTCAAATAATTTTTTGTATTTATCTTTAAGTCTAACTTCATTTAACATTTCTTCTATTTGTAATCTGAATAAGTTTGAGTGAAATAAATTTTCTGTTTCCCTAAGTTGATTTAATTCATCAACAGTTGGTGGCTTATATAAATCTTTGTCTAATTTCCTTTTCTTCTTCAATAAAGCATCTGTAGGATCTTCAGTAACTTTTCTTCTTTTTTTATCAGATACTAAATGAAAATCTTCTCTTTTAACAGTGTTTTCAATCTTCTTTTCTTCTTCATTTTCTTTACTTTCTTCACTTTCTTCACTTTTTTCATTTTCTTCATTTTCTTCATCTTCATAGTCTTCGCTTTGATCAGTTTCATCATTAGAATAGTCATCGCTTTTAAGTGCTGAATTATCAGAATGATTTGAAAAATCATTTATATTTGCCTGAAACGTACAAAATTTATATATTTTATTAAATTTAAGTTAAGCTTATTGTTATGACATTAAATGTATAAATGTTTAAGGTTATGTGAATATCAGATAAATTTCTTTTTATAAATACTTACTTTGTAAGATATTTCCATGCTTATCTTTCTAATTTTTTAATAATTATGATATATACAAAAGTTAATTTAAAATGTTTAACAAAATATTTCATATGCTCATACAATCGTTTCAAACTTCCTTGGTCCACGTGCGTTCTTAGATAGACGCTCGGTGTAGCCAAAACAAAAACAGGAATTTATGTATTATATAGTAAGGAATAAAGAATAAGAAATAAGGTATGAGTGACAAAGTAAGGAATAGTAGAGAGGTGAAAATGAAGGTTTGTGAATAAATGATACAATATCTACATATTTATAATTAGTCTAGGCTTGACTTTACTTTATTACAAGAAAGATTACAGATTACAGTTGATCTTTTTGTATTTTTTGTTTATTTAAAATATTAAAATTATGTGATTCATCAATTCATAAAGTCGTGTCGCGAGTAGTACTATTAATCTTCGTACAGTGCGTATAAATCGATGGGAGGGAATGAGTTATGACATCATGTATTCCTATTTGCATCTAGCAACGTTTCTGACTGTAGATGCTATATCTCTATGAGTATGATTCTGTCTATGGTTCATAATTCCTATCATTAGCGCCATCATTAATTCAACGTATGTACTATAATAGTCAGTTCTGTATCGGTTTTTAAATTTTCAAATTGACTAAACAAAAGGAATATTAAATATATGAAATTCTTTATATCATTAAGATGAGATAGGAAAATAAGTAATTAAAACATTTTTTCTTGAATAGGTAAGTACATTATTCTTCCAGTATTTATTATTGTATACTTATCAAATACATATCAAGATATCCTGTAGTACATTTTTTAAGTTAATAATTACTATTTATTACATTATAGGCGACGCGCACATTGCAAGAAACGAGTGATGCATATTCTAAAAATTATACAAAATAATTAACAGGATCAAACTTATATCTGTCGCTGATTACTAAAAATAGAAAAATATATCATATTTGCTATTATTGTACGAATATATATGCATACATGTTCTACTGATAAAATACTTTGAAGAATTTATATAATATACTACTTATCTAATAAGAAAATTACTATCATAAACTGAAATTAATAAAATATAAATTTCTATAAAGTTGTATCTAAATTAGGTGTATATGACTTATTAGTATATACAAATGTATATGTATACAAATGTATTGTCATTGCAAAAGAGAGAATTTTTGCTATCTATTCTTTTTTATATACCAAAAGTCATTCAAATTATAAAGTAAATAATGAAATGTTATTCTCGCTTTTGCGAATGTAAAATCAAATAACAAAAGTTTTGTATAAGAAATAATGTAGCAGTTTCATGAAATAACAATGATCTTCACTATGGAAGCCCACTTTTATTTAAAGGAAGAACATGAAAGAAGGTATTCATCTTAAAAGAAGATGTCATAATACTATGCACATGCATCACTATAGATATTTATAACATGTTATTAAAAATTTGTATAGTGTAAACATATAATTTCGCAACATAAAAGTTATTTTGCACCATTTTTGGAAGAGTTCATCATACACGAAGATTTAACGTCATTATATGCGTGTATACCTATGTGAAAAATATACTGCGGAATTACATTTACTTCATATTCGTTCGCATTATAAATTATTTAACATTTTATGATTTTAGAGATAAATGAGATAAAGAATAGAAAACTGAATGAAACAAATTTTATAATTAGCACCTTGTTAGATTATTAAAATAAAATATACAACAAACAAAGTGCATTTTGACAATAATAATAATGTTAATAAAACCGTGAAAACTATGATTTTCTTCTGTTTTAAATCAATCATGAGCTTTAATGTGTTTTACTGCATAATTTTTTGAAAATAATACGCAATTTCTAGAAAATTCTAAATGCCATACATATTTTTTTGAAGTAATTTATTGGATTTTTAACAAAAATTTTTGAAGTAATTTATTGGATTTTTAACAAAAAACAAAAGAAATAAAACTTATCTAAAAAAAAAATTATGCAGTAAAAATACAATTAATTCTAACTAGAAAAAATTACATAAAATTGTAAAACTTTGAAATGGCTAGTAAATTTATAACAGAGCAACAAGCTGCACAATCAAGTAATATAAACTTTTGAACAAGTACATATTAAAAGTTTTCTTAGACGGTATTATCACTGTACATTAATGAGCTTAATACCATTTCTAGATTATACAGATCAACGCATTGATCACATTGATTTTATTAAGCGAATATGCAAGATATATTTGTTTTAATAATTAGTTTAAATAATTACCTAGTATATACATAATTAATGCAAACATACCAATCAAAATGATCAATAATGAAACATAATATTTTGATATATACTATTATCTTAAAGCATATTGTGATCACATTAATTGTTGAATTATTGAATGTAAAAATTATAATAATTCATTGCACCTTTTCAGAGCAAATAGTATTTTTTTTCTTTTTTTTTGTGTCAATATTTTTACTGAAACACAGAGAGCTCATATATATTAATTAATAACATGTGAAAGTCTTTTTTCTATTTTTCAAGTAGTACACATAATTTTTATATCAGAAACTAATAATTTAGCAGTATCTGTAATGATACATATTGTTTCAAATAATGCAATAAAATTTAATTAAAATAAACTAGAGAGCACATAATATGATTGAAAATTATGTTTACAAATTCAATAGGATATTTACTATAATAAAAAATAGTTAACATATTGAATCTTAGATGCAAACATATTAATCTTCACCGTTATATGATTGGTCCAATTATATATATAATTTTGTTTCTATTTAATATTTATTATTGTTAGGCCCTAAGATTGGAACTACGATATTTTTCACCACAAATTCCAAAATTTCAACACATTCATAAGCATTTTCCTTGGAAACACAATATATTCTAGCACATAGTCAAAATTTATATTACAACAAAAAAAAAATCAGAGTATGAGAATGTTTACATATAAATGTTATGCAAGTATGCATCAATTTTGTTGAACAGTAATACTTCAACTTAGAATAGTACCAATAGTCATATAGATCTATAGATTCTTAATGTTAAAAGTTGCAAAAAATAGAATTTTTTAATATAGAAAAGATTTTCTTAACATTCTCCTTCAGATGATATAATCTCAAATGTATAGAACTATTCATAGAGCAATTCTGTGAGAACGAATTCTCTCTTTTTAGTCTTTATATACATTATTATAGTTGAAATTTTTATAATTAAGTTCATTTATATAATATCATTAACGACTTGACCTTTAATAAAGTGCAAATTCGTCTGCAGATATAACCAATTCTTCGTCACTACAATCACTAACTCCAAATCCTGATGAGCCATGAAAACTGCGTGATCTTGCAACATTGCTAAAAACAAAATAAATAGTATTATTTCTATTTATAACATATAAAGAAAGAACCAATAAATTATATTATTATATATATTTAACATGCTAGTGCGTTATACCTATGTAATGTAAAATACTGTAAAAATTGTAATTGTAAATTTCCACAAAAATTTTTATAAAAGTTATTTCATCAATATAATTCTTTAATAGCCTTTTTTCTTCTTAATTATCACTCACAAATTTTGATGTAAATATTTGACATAAATAAGAAATATTGAAAAAAATATATAGATATGAAGAAATTGTGCATAGACAAAAATGTTTTAATATGGTTCTTTCTTAAATCATGCAAGTAAAAAAAAGTAATAATTAACACATCTTATGCGGGGTTTTATCTTAGGCTGCGCAAACATGGGGCCGTTTAAACGTAACGTGAAACGAAATATCGATAGATGTCAGGACAAAAATTCAAACGTTTTAATAAAGAACTCTAAAACTGTGATCTCAGTATCCCGCATATAACGCCCAATATTTTCAAAAACGTCACAGTCTCCCGCACTTAACAATTGACCGTAGTAAGACTGTGATTCCCGTTACCCGCAAACAATGTGTTAACACATTATTCTAGCTGTATATTACATTAATAAGCCACAACAAACTATTCTGAAATTTCTGACTTGCACACTCATAAGAGAGATACATATGTATATATGGCTTACTTTCTAACTATCTTGTATATAATTTCATTTTAGTAAAAAATAACCATTATTTTTGCAATTGTTCACTAAAAAACAACCATAGAATGATGTCATGAAATAAACAATGAATAATATGGATCTTTGTAATTTTTCTTATAGATTAAAATAATATATTTCTATATTAAATTATGACATATCCATAGTATTCACAAATTAATGATGCATTGGCGATGGATTAATATAAACAATAAACAATATCAAAAAGCAGCATTATTGCAATAAGATTTTCTTAAGAGGTTACGAAAAAATATGTTGAATGTTACATTTTTTAGTGTATCTCTTAAAAAAATCTACATTGCAAAATCAAACAAGTCATTTTCGTACCACTTGCTTGTACCGATGGTCTCTATCATTAGATTATCGATCGCTATCGGTCCTACCAACACAGTGAAATAATTACTTTTTATATTAACTGAATAACAAAATGTTTTCATATGATTTTTAGTTTAAAAAAAAATAAACAATTGCTTACCTCGGAGAAAGATTGGCATTTGTATTTTTCTTAGCCAAGCCTGCTTTCCTTCTCCCTTCCATTGCTGCTTTCATAGGATCATAACTTTTACGACGTTTCCAATTTTGCATTTCGACTTCTCTTGCATTTGGCGTAGCGGACTTTTTTGTTTCTTTTGGTTTTATTTTAGGTCCCTATAATATAAAACATTCAAAAATGTAAAAATTGTCTTATGTGTATTATACATATGAACATGTCTTATTTAAAAGATACATACAGTATTTGTAGTTCTATTTGACCTCATACTAAAACGTCCAGAATCAGTCCTACTGATACTTGTAACAGATTCAGATTTTCGAGTATCCAACGTGACTGATTTATTTTTATTTATATTTCCTGGCAATTTTGTAGGTTGCACGTCTAGTCTTGCTCTACGTAAACTGCAAGTGTATTTTTAAAATATGTATAATGATAATATATATTAATTATATCTATAAAGTTTTACCTAAACGCTCGATTATATTTAGTGTTTGAAATAGCATTCTGTGCGTTAGGATGACGATCATCGCTACTCTCTGTGTCACTAG